TCCTTGGAGACATGAATATTCACCTGGACAATCCCAGCTCATCAGGCTTCCTATCACTAATGTCATCATTTGATTTAAAACTAGTACAAAGTCCTCCAACTCACAAAGCTGGAAAAGCACTTGACCTCATTTTCACCAGAAACTGTGCCATTGACAAAATCTCTGCCACACCGCTGCATCTTTCCGATCATTACTTCCTCCATTTCAGCACGACTCTACAAGGGAGGTCCACTGCTTCCTCCCCAATGGTCTCATTCTGCTACAACCTCCGCAATCTAGCACCCAACCACTTCTCCTCTCTAGTTGCCTCCACTCTTCCATCTCCCAGCACATTCTCTGCTTATGAAGTGAATGATGCCACCGAGTCACTCTGCTCCACACTCTGCTCCTGTCTTAACAACTTGTGCCCTTTAGCCACTAGACCTGCTAGATCCTCTCAGTCGCACCCTTGGCTAAATGATACCCTCCGGTCTCTATGCACCAATCTTAGAGCTGCGGAATGGAAATGGCGCAAAACAAAAGATCCTGGTGATCTATTGAAATTTCATGAATTACTGTCCTCATTCTCTGCCAGCATCACTGATGCAAAGAAACCTTTCTACACTGACAAAATTCTCAGCTCTACTGACTCTCAGAAACTATTTTCAACATTCAAAACTCTGCTCAACCCTCCATCTCCAACTCCTACCATCAATCTATCAGTGGACACCATTGCCTCATTCTTCACTGGCAAAGTGGCAGCTATAAGCAAACAGTTTACTCAACTGGCCACTCCTGAACATTCGCTACCAAAAACTCCATCTAACCCAACCATCTCAAGCCCTACTGCTTCATTTTCCTCTTTTTCCCCTCTCACTGAGAACTGTGTCCAAGCTTCTCACGTGCAGCCAGCCTACTACATGCCCACTCGACCCCATTCCGACTAAGCTTCACCAAGCTATTGCTCCTACAGTAGCTGCAGCAGTCACACATGTGATCAACGCATCACTGACATCCGGTACATTTCCCACCTGTCTCAAGCATGCTCAGGTTAAACCGCTGCTAAAAAAAAAAAAAAAAACATCTCTTCCTCCACATCATGTGGAGAACTACCGACCTATCTCTCTCCTCCCTCTTCTGTCCAAAATCATTGAAAGGGTGGCTTTCAAGCAGATCACAGAATACCTCTCACAAAACTGTCTGCTTGACCCTTATAAATCTGGGTTCAAAAAGGGCCACTCCACTGAAACTGCTCTGTTAGCAGTGACAGAATCCTTAAAAGAAGCTAGAGCGACTGCCAAATCCTCAGTGCTTATCCTGCTCGACTTATCGGCTGCATTTGACACTGTCAACCATGGCTTCCTTTTGTCCACACTCTCTAGCATGGGCATCACAGAGAAAGCACACACCTGGTTTGAATCGTACCTCACAGGACGATCATTCAGTGTATCTTGGCTTGGACAATCGTCTACCGTGCACCATCTTGTCACAGGAGTCCCCCAGGGCTCTGTAGTAGGACCTCTTCTCTTTGCCATATACACCACTAGGTGAGATCATTCGATCACTTGGCTTACCTCTCTAAAACTGAACTACTTGTCATCCCAGCAAAACCATCCATACAGCACTATATCTCAATCCAAAATGACTTCCTATCTCTGGCTCCTTCAAAGGTAGTTCGAAATCTGGGTGTCGTGATTGATGAACACCTGAGCTTTAAAGATCATGTTGCCTCTGTTGCTCGTTCATGCCACTTCGCACTGTATAACATACGAAAGATCAGACCATACCTAACACAACATGCCACCCAGCTCCTGGTGCAATCTACTGTCATCTCCCGCCTCGATTACTGCAATGTCCTTCTAACTGGTCTTCCAGGCTGTACTGTGAAACCTCTTCAAATGGTCCAGAACGCAGAGGCGCGTCTGGTCTTCAATCAGCCAAAAAGAGCACACGTCACCCCTCTGTTCATTGAGCTCCACTGGCTACCGCTAGCTGCACGCATCAAATTCAAATTGCTAACACTAGCATACAAAGTCCGAGATGGTACGGCTCCCATCTACCTGAATCCTCTTGCAAAAGGCTTGCATCTCGGCCCGGCCGCTCCGGTCATCACAGAATCGTCGGCTAGCAGTGCATACACCACGCTCAGGACAATCCAGACTCTTCTCATGCATCGTTCCACAAATGTGAAATGACCTACCAAGTACTACAAAGACCAGGGGCTTCCTTTTCCACTTTCAAGAAACTCCTGAAGACCCTGCTCTTCAGAGAACATCTTCTAAACTAGCACCCTCCCTGCACCCGTCCCCCTCTTTATTGTCCACTCCTTGTTCCCTCCTCTCCATGATTCATCATGCTGCCTCACTGCTACCTTCGACTGATTGGAAATTGGTTGTTGTTGTTGTTGTTGTTGTTAGCCTCAAGGGCAACATGCCGATTATCACTTATAAGTCGCTTTGAGCAAAAGTGTCTGCTAAATACATAAACATAAACATAGAACAGTCACGGGTGTTTGTCTTCCTACAAATGCTCAGGAAAATAAATAAATAGGCTACTTTGTGAAGGAGTTAGGACATAATGTAGAATATAATATATGATATTATTCAATAATTACCAAAAATCGCCAGGGGAAATGTAATTATATTCAATTTTTGTGATTTGTCCCACCATACGCTGTTCAAACTGACTGTACGGCGCTGGGATGTTTGGAACTACCGTGAACGTGAGTCAGCAAGTAGAAAGCGTGTCGCAACTCTCTCTTTCAACAGCTCTGATTGTAGCCACGGCTGCCCTGGGGCCCACTGACAAGAGGTGACGCTGCCGTACCAAGCCCCCGCAATGCGGCTCAAAAATTGAGTCCAACCCGAAAGTACCAAAAATTGCAGTTCCACCCTCATCCACTAGGGGCTGGTGTCAGAAGCGAGCAAATCCTCATTGACTCCCATGTTAAAAATACCAATTTCACAGCAGAAATAAACATGTTTACAGCCTGGTACCAAAACATGCTTTTGGTTTAAATTATCTAGTTTACACTCATGACAACTCAGAGGGGGGTGAATTTTTTTCTCACTCTTCTGTTTAAGTGTAGTAAAAGCCTAAAATTCTGTATAATTAATGAGCAACAGACCCACGTGACCGCCGCCTCAGGCCCACGTGACCACAAAGCTAGCTCCGTGGAAAGGCCCAATAGAGCCTCGGTCTGGCCTGGAAACTGTTCCGGGACTTTGAGTCTCTGTGTTTGTGTATTCTTTTTTGGATATTTTTTGTGCAATTGTTGGACAAAATGACTTGCTGTGGCATTAATTGCACTAATAGAGCATCCAAGGAGTCTCCACTTCATTTTTTTCGGTAAGTAAAATTATATTTATGTATTTTAGGTCACTGCCGAGCTGAGCTTAGATTTTAACATGTACTGTTTAACCATGAAATTTAAATGTAATAGGGTAAAACCCAGTGCATTTAACATAATGCTGCACTTTAGAAAATGGGTTGAAATATAACATGTTGGTGGAGCTGGGTTCCCACTATCGGCTTGTGTAGCTCTCAGGAGACCGATGTTTTCCACCCGGTTCTCGCCTCCCCGCAGCTCGGTGCATCTCTGTCTGATCGCCGCTTCTGTCTGCTGCGCGGGCTGCCAGCTTGTGGAGCTCTGGGATGGAAACCTTTCCACCCGGGTCTCCCCAGTGGAAGCTCTGCGCATCTCAGATCGCAGCGGCGCTTGTCTGCTGTGCGGCTGCTGGCTTGTGGAGCTCTCGGAGACCTCTGTGTTCCACCCCGTTTTACCCAGCGGTCAGCCCGGCGTATCTCTGACTCAGAAGCTCTGGTGTTGTGCACAGTTAACTCCGGTTGTAGCTAGGTTGCTACCTCCGTTAGCTTAGCTCCCACCTCCGCGTTAGCTTTGGGTTAGCCTGTAGCTAGTTCGACCGGGTGCCGTCAGCCTCACAGCCCCACCCTCAGCTCCACCTCTCTTCCCTTTTGTGGAATTGTCTGGGCTTGACGGAACCTGTGACACGGTCAAAATGGTGGTGGTGGCCACCTCCCATTTGGCCTCAAAAACCTGTTATTGGAGCCCGTGGAAACCCATTGTCCAATATTTATATGTCGATGTGCCATACACAAGCACCACCAGTCCCGCCTTCCACCACCAGAAAAAGGAGAGTGAGGTGTCTTGCCCAAGGACACGACTGAGACATACGGGCTCAAACGTAATATTCCTAAAGCGACATAACTGTAGCTCCTCTGCTGCAGTTCCCCCATATATAATAAAATAAAAGAGCCAACAAAACCGAAAACATCTAAAACAAAGAAGCTTATTGATGAAGGTGGTGGTTTAGTGTGTTGTTGTTTTTAATTAGAAATAAAATGTTTTATTGTTTATTGGTTTCCAAACCCTAACCAATTTCATGTCTTCAAATGTATACTGTTGAACAGATTACCCTGACTGACTTCATATAAAAATAGATTTGTCTCAAACAAAATAAAACGAGTCAAAATCAGTTACTGTCTTTTATCTCCCCGAAACCAAACTTTTTCATTCAGTAAATAGATAGAATAGACATATTTAAATGTTTGGTCGTGATTCATCCAACAACAGGCGGTAAATGTCTGCATAACACCGGATCGAGAAAGACCCGGGATCTGGAGGAGCGGAGAGGCGGAGTAGAGCTGACCGCGACTCTGCCACTGCTCCCGGTGTAAAGAGCCACCGCTGACCACAGGGAACCACGGAGTCACCTCTGACTCAGATGTGTTTGGGTTAGCGCAAGGCTGCAGTGGGTCTGGCGTAGTTTAACCAGGTAGTTAAGGTTAGTTTAACTAGCTGTAGGAACTTTGAACGAGCCAACGCGCTTTCCTGTTACGTTACAGTAAGTTCCGGTTAGCTGGTGTCAGAACCCTTCTTCTGCTTTTGCAGAACCAGAACCTGCTCCTCGGACCGCAAACAAACGCCCCTGCTGTTTAATCAGCGGATTTTGAATACAGTCTATTCGGGGCCAGGCACCCTTACCTGGGCAACGACTCACCTATCGCAGACCTCTGGGTATTTAGGTCCTTGACCTGTTCTTTTGGTCAGCTGAGATTAGCCCCGCCCATCCCGGTGGCCAACCCAGATGAAACGTAAAAAAAGTGCCGAATCAGCAGTCTGGTCCAGAACGAGGAAGTGGGATAAAAACTTCACGGATGACGTCAGCATAAAGTTTAAACTAAAGAACCAAAAGGATTGACTACTTTTCACACAGCTATTATTGCTACCTCTAAACATGCACGAGGGAGAACCATAGGGGAGAACATGCGCTCTGTAAAGCCTAGTTTGTGCTTATGTGTGGGAGAGACGCACACAATGGCGATGTTTTTAACGAAAGCGGTGTCCTGACCGTCACACGCTTCCATTCGCTGTGTCCTTCTATGGATGTTTAGAAAAGTGGGCTTGACTACGTTCACCCTTGCAAGACGGGGAGAGCCCTCGCCAAGACGTTTAATGGCGCTGCATGTCTCCGTACCAACGCAGACGCATAAACTACGCTTAAGCATGCATGGTGAGAATATGTTTCCCACAGCTCATCCAGATGTGACAAGTAGATGTTACCAAAGCACGCAGGTACATTATTGCCCAAGGAAATTTGAGTCGTGGATTTAACAAAAGCAATCAGATTTATTTTAACAAAAGGACAAAACAAATCAACAGTCAGCTACAACACCCCCCCCCCCCCCTAGACCTTACAGCAGGGGCAGACTAAACACTGACCAGTGACCTCCTTGCCCCCTTCACCTTGCAGACACCCTCAAAGGTTTATTTAACTCTTACTGCGGCTGCCTGTCAGAACAGGTACTGCACCCACTGCCCATCTCTAACTGGAAGTTGAACACAAACAACAAAACAAAAATACATTAATAATCAAACACCAGACACCATGAAATGCATTGAGGAGTGTGCTTCTCTCCTCCATACACACTATGAACCAGCAATTCTCACACGCATTCACATACACGCTCCAGTTAGTGTGGGTTAGGGTTAGCCCACACATTAGTGGGCTTCACATTGGCCCAACCAGCCTCACAGTTCTTTGTCCAGGGTCCAGGCCTGGACCCGAAAAATTAGCCCGCTGTTCCCCTCGCAGCTAATCACCATATCGTCAGTTGAGCTTGTTCCAAACTGCGTCTGCTGTGAGCCAAGTGGGACTGTGTGAACACACACCCTCCTTCCTTTAACCCAGGTTTCAACCCAGAAACCACAGCAAAGCAGGAACCCTCCTGAGCTCAACGGATCTCTCCACGCAGACACTGTCCCTCTCTCAACTCCTCCTTCCCAGATTGGGAGAACCGATGCCTCTTCAGGGTCTACACTGCCCAAGGAGCAGCATGTCATGCCCCAGATCCAATGCCCCAAGCACAATAAGGATAACAACAGAACACTGATGAATTCCTAATGATCTTCCAGTAACAGAAACAGTCAGATGTTTAGATGTGTTTAATGAAACGGCCCAGAGAAAAGCTAACACCTTGTCAAAATTTTTTTATTTTCCATCTCATCAGCTGATAGATCAGACTCTTAGAATCTGACAGGAGCTTGTTTACGTGGTTGGACCACGTACACATCACTTTTTGGAAGAGTTGACCCGTGCTCGATTCAACCTGTCAACCAGAAGGTGGTCGGAGGCGGAGCATCTAGAGAGGACTGCCCCCAGCTCTGACTCGTTCCTGCGCTCGATGGCAGTGTCCGCTGCACCCTCCAGGTCACTGACAGAAACAGAAGAGAAATAAGCATAGGGTGGAGCCTCCTGCATGATAATGTCACAGCTGTCATCTTACCCCACAGCCAGGTGAGCTTTGACCTTCTGCTCAGGGGTTACTTTACAGACGTACTTCTTGGCTTCATACCTGTTGTTGTTCTTCATGCAAATTTCAACAAACGCCTGAAGACAAACGCAGCAAGGCTTTATGAGAAATGCAATACAATGGAAACAAAATGGTAAGGGGTGGAGCTTCTTACAAGATATCCAATGGGGGACTTCTTGCTCTTTGAGAATTTTTCCAACTCCTCCCACTCCTCCTTCTCTGCCAGAGACTTAAGCTTCAACCACCAATACCTGCAGAAGTAGACAAGGGTAGACAGGTGAGGAGAAGATAAAACACAGGTGTGACTGGTATGTTGGTTGTCATCACCTTTTGTCAGGTACTTTGAAATCTCTGTAGAGCTGCTCTGCTTGTTTGTGAAGTCCTAATGACATCAGAGCTTCCATGGTTCCCTGGACCAGAAGTGGCATCATTAAACAACACTTAGCTGGTTTGTAATTGGTCACATTTTTTGTTTGTTCAAATATCTCAAAAAATAAACTTTCACGTGGAAAACCCCCAGCACCTTAACCTACCTGCAGAGACAGCCCGAGAAGCCCCGCCCCTTTCTCATCATCCAACTTTCGTTGGAAACGAAGGAGACGCATCTCATCTTCTGTGGCCTAAAAGACCAGACAAGAGTCAAGGTGACATTTCTGTCTTTAGTTACTCAGGGAGGAGGAGCAGGAAAAAGGGGTGAAAGGCGCTGGAACATAAGAAACAAAATGGGAGAAGAGGGGGGGTGAAGGCGGGAATCAGGGAGGAAATTGTGTCATTTGATTACTTTCGGTCAGTCTTGAGGCGTGTTATGGTTTTCCGTTACACTTACCTGTACTGTGCACTTTCTGCCATGATGATTCAAAGGTCTTAGTTGTGGAACCAATAAAGAATTTTCTACTCTTAACTTACCTTTACAGCAAAGTCATTCTTGGCCTTATTGTATTCATCTATAGCACTCTGCAGGTGAGACAGTCGGCTCTCCAACCTCTGAACACACAGATCAAAGGTCAGCATGTCTGTTCTATTAAAGCTCAGAACTTGAAACCTTATATTTGAGATTTCTATCAGTTCAACACTCCAGACACACCAAACCTCTGGTTCATGGTTAGAGTTTTATCTGGGAGACAGTCAGGTTTAGGACTGAAACAGTCAATAGCCACGTTTACATGCGCATATTTAATCGGATTGAATGCCCAATCAGATCAAAAATTCTGCATGTAAACATGTCAATCAGAATATTCTCATCCGATTCGGCCCGATCGGATTGAAACTTCAATCCGATTGGGAGAGGTGGTTTATTTCGTTCATCATTCCGATTGACGTGCATGTACACAGCCATTCGGATTGTTGGGGTAAAATAATGCCCACTGTGCATGTGTGCAACAGCGAGCGGGCCTCTCTGCTGTCATTTGGACCACCTGACTTAAAAAATGACGGCGTAATTAACGAGCGGCGGCTTTTAAATCCGACGACAAGTCGTCCCCGTTTCAGTAATTTTTAATTCAGAACTTGCATTTTGTGGAAGTAAAATAAAAATCTGATTATTGCACAAATCATTTGACAAACATGTTCAAATCTGTACTGGAAATACGCAGGTTTATTGCAGGGGTTGCAGCGCACGGATCCCCGTTTCTGTCAGCTTTGAACGCAGCAGCTTCTGCAGCAGGTGATGGAGACACGCTTGTAAAGAACACAGGATAATATGGGTTTTACAGACCTGATTGGAGGCTGATGTTGGGTAGGAAAACGTCCTCGGTTAAATACTCTGGACGACAGTAAAGTCCGTGTTACAGGGTATCTGCAGGTTTAAGGGAGCCAAATTTAAGACTTTTTAAGACCTTTTTTAAGGCCACTTAGACCAAATTTAAGCTATTTTCATAATTAAATTTAAGCTTTATTTTCCAGCTATTGCCTGGAACTGGTGCTAACCGCGTCGCGAACATGGGATTAGCCATCCAGTTACCATCAAACTTGCACTTCCCCATGGCGCAAGCTCCCACTAGTTTAACCAGTTAATGTGCTCATCTAAAAATAGCCCCTTTCACAAGCAACTGAATGTGTATGGTTCCGCTTACACTAACATCGTACGCAAAAAATGCTGAATACTAACTAGAAATTCATGAAAATTTCATAGAAATAAAATAATCTTGTTTATTGGGTCTTTGAAAATTTAAGACCTTTGGAAACTGTATTTAAGGATTATATGTCATTTTTAAGGATTTTTAAGGCCTTAAATTTGGAAAAGCTAATTTAAGACTTTTTAAGATTTTTTAAGGACCCGCGGATACCCTGGTGTTAAAAGCACGTAAACACAGATGACCTGAGATGCGGTACGTTAATGATGAACACAGGCTTCTAAACTTTCTGAACATCTTCTGTTATCTTGTTTGAACAGATTTTTCTCAACAGTTTCAGCTGATTGTCACATGTTATTAATAATAAGCCACAACAGAGCACAGTAATAAAACATGAGTCTAACCCCCCCCCCCCCCCCCCACCCCCCACCCCCGCTCTGTGCCGCAGCGCAACGGCACAGCTGTCACTTCAGACCCGCAGACCAGCTGATCAAGAGGCAGAGACATAACCCTCCCTTATTTTAATCAACAATAAAATGCAGCAAAGCATATATCTGCAGTTATTCACTGAAGAAAACGTAACTTCTATGAGCTAAATAAAAATATTAAATTGAATAAATGGATCAGGAAAGCAGGGAAGAATAGTTATTTCTGTTTTTACATTTTTCATTTCGTTTCATGGCGTTTGTTTACAATTTTCCTTTTGGGAAAGGCAACTCTGCGCATGCTCAACCTATTTAATCGGATTAAATGCTTGGTGCATATGTACGCACGGCATGATCGGATCATTTCAGTTCGTGTCCATGTGAACAGTGATTATATATAGCTTAAAAAGAAGTGGACCTAAAACGGGCCCCTGGGGAACCCCACAAAAAAGAGGTGCCACTCTAGAGGCGCAATTCCCCAGGGCAACATTAAAACATCTGCAATTAAAATAGGAGTGGAACCACTCTAAAGCTGTTCAACGAATGCCAATTAACTGCTCCAGTCGCTGTAATAGGATTGCGTGGTTGACAGTGTCAAAGTCTAAAAGCACCAACAACACATTAAAATCAGAATCAGAGGCAAGCAAAATATCGTTAAAACACGAATAAGAGCAGTCTTAGTGCTGTGGTGAGGGTGAAAACAAGACATAAAAAGATCTAAAACATTGTTGGATGTAATGAAATTAAAAATCTGGATAAAACCATCTTCTCCAACAAGGTTTGGTATTTGAATTACCCCGGGGAACGAGAAGGTAGCTTCCGTTCGCCTTCGCGTCGGGGAACGGGTCCTGACTGTTGTTTGTGCTTATGGGCCAAATATCAGTTCAGAGTACCAACCCTTTTTGGAGTCCCTGGGACGAGTGCTAGATAGTGCTCCATCAGGGGACTCCATTGTCCTGCTGGGGGACTTCAATGCTCACGTGGGCAATGACAGCTTAACCTGAAGGGGTATGATTGGGAGGAACGGCCTCCCTGATCTGAACTCGAGTGGTGTTTCATTATTGGACTTCTGTGCAAGCCGCAGTTTGGCCATAACGAACACCATGTTCGAACATAAGGATGCCCATCGGTACACTTGGTACCAGGGCAGCCTAGGTCGCAGGTCGATGATAGACTTTGTAGTCGTATCATCTGACCTGTGGCCATATGTTTTGGACACCCGAGTGAAGAGAGGAGCGGAGCTGTCAACTGATCACCACCTAGTGGTGAGTTGGATCAGATGAAAGGGGAAGATGTCGCGTAGACCTGGCAGACCCAAACACATAGTGAGGGTCTGCTGGGAACGCCTGGCAGACGAACCTGTCAAGACGGTCTTCAACTCCCACCTCCGGCAGAATTTTGACCGCGTCTCGAGAGCAGTGGGGGACATTGACTCCGAGTGGGCCTTGTTCCACTCTGCAATTGTTGAGGCGGCTGTTGCTAGCTGCGGTTGCAAGGTGGCTGGTGCCAGTCGTGGTGGCAATCCCCGTACCCGCTGGTGGACACCAGAGGTTCAGGGAGCCGTCAGGCTGAAGGAGGAGGCCTACAGGGCGTGGCTGGTCTGTGGGTCTCCGGAGGCAGCAGACAGGTACCGGATAGCCAAGCGGGGTGCAGTAGTGGCAGTTTCCGAGGCAAAATCTCGGGCGTGGGAGGAGTTTGGAGAGGCCATGGAGAAAGACTATCGATCAGCTCCAAAGAGGTTTTGGCAAACTGTCTGGCGCCTCAGGAGAGGAAGGCAGCAACTCGCTCAAACTGTTTACAGTGGGGATGGGGAGCTGCTGACGTCAACTGGGGCTATAGTCGTACGGTGGAAGGAATACTTTGAGGAGCTCCTCAATCCCACCGATGCGCATTCCGAGGAATAACCAGAGCCGGGAGACCTGGGGATGGACTGTCCAATCTCTTTGGCAGAAGTTGCTGAGGTAGTCAAACAACTACACAGCGGCGGAGCCCCGGGGGCGGATGAGGTTCGTCCTGGGTATCTCAAGGCTATGGATGTTGTAGGGCTGTCATGGTTGACACGTCTCTGCAACATTGCGTGGTCATCGGGGGCAGTTCCTGTGGAGTGGCAGACCGGGGTGGTAGTCCCCATCTTTAAGAAGGGTGACCTGAGGGTGTGTTCCAACTATAGGGGGATCACACTCCTCAGCCTCCCTGGAAAGGTCTACTCCAAGGTACTGGAGAGGAGGGTACGATCGATAGTTGAATCTCAGATTGAGGAGGAGCAATGTGGTTTTCGTCCTGGCCGTGGAACTGCGGACCAGCTCTATACCCTTGCAAGAGTGATGGAGGGGACATGGGAGTTTGCCCAACCAATCCACATGTGTTTTGTGGATTTGGAGAAGGCTTATGACCATGTCCCCAGGGGCACCCTGTGGGGGACGCTCTAGGAGTATGGGGTGGGTGGCTTTCTGTTAAGGGCCATTCAGTTCCTTTACCAGAGGAGCATGAGTTTGGTCCGCATAGCCGGTAGTAAGTCGGACCTGTTCCCGGTGAGGGTTGGACTTCGCCAGGGCTGCCCGTTGTCACCGGTTCTGTTCATTACCTTTATGGACAGAATTTCTAGGCGCAGCCGTGGTGTGGAGTGTGTCGAGTTTGGTGGCAGGAGAATCTCGTCTCTGCTTTTTGCGGATGATGTGGTACTACTAGCTTCATCCAGCTCTGACCTTCAGCTCTTGCTGGGTAGGTTCGCGGCCGAGTGTGAAGCGGCTGGGATGAGGATCAGCACCTCCAAATCTGAGACCATGGTTCTCGAACGGAAAAAGGTGGCTTGCCAACTCCGGGTCGGGAGAGAGGTCCTACCTCAAGTGGAGGAGTTTAAGTATCTCGGGTTCTTGTTCACGAGTGAGGGTAGGAGGGATCGGGAGATCGACAGGCAGATTGGTTCAGCATCTGCAGTGATGCGGACTCTGAGCCAATCTATCGTGGTGAAAAGGGAGCTGAGCCAGGAAGCAAGGCTCTCGATTTACCGGTCGATCTACGTCCCAATCCTCACCTATGGTCATGAGCTTTGGGTAATGACCGAAAGAACAAGATTGCGGATACAAGCGGCCAAAATGAGTTTCCTCCGTAGGGTGGCCGGGCTCAGCCTTAGAGATAGGGTGAGGAGCTCGGACATTCGGGAGGGACTCGGAGTAGAACCGCTGCTCCTCCGGATCAAAAGGAGCCAGTTGAGGTGGTTTGGGCATCTGGTCAGGATGCCTCCTGGACGCCTCCCTGGGGAGGTGTTTCGGGCATGTCCTGCCGGCAGGAGGCCCCCGGGTCGACCCAGGACACGTTGGAGAGGTTACATCTCCAATCTGGTCCGGGAACGCCTTGGGGTCCTGCCGGAGGAGCTGGTGGAGAAGACCGGGGAGAGGACTGTCTGGAGCTCCCTATTTGGGATGCTGCCCCTGCGACTCGGACGGAGGAAGACGACGATATTATTGTATTGTGAGACATGTAAGACATCGTGTCATATCACGAGGTTCCCAGCCCTTAGTGTATAGCCTTTTCTTGTAACTTTCTTTCTGTTTTACTGCAGTTACACCTACATTTCCTGTCTGAGGGATAAATGACTTTACTATTTGGTCATAATGCAAGATTTAAACATAGGTAAAAAAAATAAATATGTTCTACTAGTTAAAATCATTTAAATATTTTCTAAATTAAGATATTTAAAAGTCTGCCAGTTCGCAAGTCCAAACAAAGTTTTGAAGAGAGAAGAAAATACTATGCAATTGTAAATAAAGTCATGATGAAAGGAACTACTTCCGGTAGAGATAATGAGCCACCATCATGTACTTCTGGTTGTATTATATCCGGTTACGGTAAAAAACATGCTGTCTGCAGCCATATCTTCTTGAAGTGAATGGGGTGGAGTCACGTGACTAGCTGTGACATGAACTCCACTGGTCTGTGCCACAACTTCTTAAGGGACATGAACATCGGCAACGTACTCACGTCTTTTCATTTATTTTAAATACCGGACATACCAACATGGGCAAAATGACGTTGTAAGTCATTCATTTTGGTAACAGTAAATTTTTGATTTACCGTCAAGCCCGAGCAGAAAGGTAAATCAAAGGTAAGAAAGAGTTGGTATTCCATTCTTTAGACAGAGGTCAAACACAGAGCTGATACAGGTGTGACCATTACCTTTTCTCTGTAACTTGCCATGATGTAGTAGTTTGCCAGCTCCTGGTGATCATCATCCTGGTTGTAGAGATCTTTCAGAGTCTCCTGTTCCTGTAGTTTACAGAACTGACAACAATCATGTGACAGGTTGATACATGCAGGTGAAGACTCAGCATCCCCTAACAAAGCACAGCCAGGTGAGCTCACCTGTCTGTAAAGACTGAGCGCTACAGGTTGATTCCTCAAAGTCATGAAGAAATCTCCTCGATTCATTTCATTTTTCAGATATGTGACCACTGTGTATACTGACAACACGCACATTAATACATTCGGTAACAAATCACTTCTCTGACAGATAGATGTAGACGGGGCCTTAGTACTCACCTAGGTCAGTGTCGCCACTTTCCACAGCTTTACCAAGAGCCAGCTGACTCCTCTTCATCTTCAGCAGCAGAGGAACCTGTTCTCCAGAACGAGCTTCAAAATCCAGCAGCTGGTGGAGGTAAACAGTCAGTACTACAGAATACTATACAAAAAATTATTTCTGTGGGGAGTTGGAAAAAAAATAACTGAGTATTACAGAATTCTGAAGACGTTATAAAAATGCTACAAAGAACTGCAAATAAAATCACAGAAGACCACAAAACAATACACAATATCAAAATACTTCTAAACTTGGCTGAGTATTTTCTGACTGAAGTACCTTTATAGCAAGCTCAGTGCGTCCACATTCGTATGCTTTAGCAGCAATATGCGAGTATGAAACTCCAGGTGAGTCTCCAACCTTCAAACAAACAGCCCGAGCTATGGCCTCATCAGATAGGTCTTTCTGCTGTACCTGGACATGCCCACAACACACTGGTCAGAATTGCATGTGGAAGTAGCCTCAGGTGAAATCGTGTGTGTTTGCTTACCTTACACGAAGCCCAATGCTTCAGAACTCTGCTCACCCCCTGATAATCCGGAATCTTCAGATAGCGACAAATTTCAATGGCTAACGGGTAAAACTGCCTGTACACCAACCTGAACGAGACAGGTACAAAGATATAGAGACAAATCAGGCAAATGTGAAGAACAGGTAAGAGAAACATGAGACCTTTTCTTCACATTGCATCACCTTGTCAACATTTTGTTATGTAGCAGCTTCATTCCAAAACGTATTATCCCCCCACAAAATTCGACAGATTCCTTTACAATTTTTCTCACTTGCTAAAACGTTAAATGCTGTTCTCTTTCTTAACATTCGTTTCGATGTCTCACTATGGGATACGCCCCTCCGCGGATTCCTCAGAAGCACTTATCTCAATACGCCAATCCTGATTGGCCAGTGACCGTGACGTACGCGTCCCCCTGCTACTATAAGTAGCAAGCGTCCCAACGTACGCCCTATTCAATCACCTCTTCTCGCTTCGGTGGTCGCTTATCTCTGAGGTAAGTTAGCTCAACTGTTCACAGACGGAGCCTTCTAATATTCTCTCCGTCGCCGAACGTTAACTTACCGTCCTTCTGTCCTGACCTTCACCATAGGCTCGGGGCATAACGAGCAGCTTCACACTCCAGTGCATCTGTTCGTTCTATGCTAACACACCAGTTAGCCAACATGGAAGCCGCTCCTCCCACCAGAGGAGTCGACGGTGCAGGAGCTCGCCTCTGTACCTGTGGGAACAAAATCTCAAGCAAAGACCCGCACAGGGTCTGCTCGAGCTGCCTCGGGCTGGAACACGCCCAGCTGGCATTGGAAGTCCCCGGGTCATGTGAGAGCTGCGCTTGCTTCACCCTGAAGAGCCTTCGCCGGCGGCTAGCGCGCCAAGCTAGCCTGTCGGGGAAGGACCCTTGCCTGCCGGCCCCTGGGCCACCGCCTGGGGACGCCAGCGAACATGTCCTCCCGGAGCCGGAACCGTGTGCCGAACTCAGCTGGGGCTCACAGCTCGAACTGGCCGGTCCGAGCCACCCCGCCGAGGATGTGTTGGAGTTGGACTACGGAGACGACGAGGACACCTCGGAACTCCTCATTTCAGAGGAGGACGACGTCTTTCTCCCCATCGCTCAGGCCTCCATGCCTAGCTTTCCGTCCTCTCCCAGGGATGGAGCGGTTTCTCCGGCCGCCCACCTGGACATGCAGTCAGTCTGCCGACGCGCTGCGACCAGGCTCAACATCCCTTGGCCCACCGTGGTCACTGAGGCTGTCAGATCCCGCTACGAGGGAAAGAAGCTGCCTCAGGCCACGAGGGCGGCAAAGCCCCTCCTCCCCGCCTTCCCGGAGCTACTCCAAGAAGTGGGGTCCTCCTGGGACAAACACCCGTTCAGCTCCAGGTCTCCTGTCCAAGGAGCCTCCTCGCTGGACTTCGAAGGGATGGAGACGGCTGGCATGCTTCGCATGCCGCCGATGGAACCGCTGGTTGCAGCCCACCTGCACCCACGGCTCTCGGCGACTTCCTCCAGGCCTCCCGCTCTCCCTGCGAAGGCGGACCGCTTCCAGTCGGCGCTGAACGAGAGGGCGTACAAGGCTGCCGCCATCTCGGTCCGAGCTTTGAATGTCTCCTCCATGCTCTCGGCGTACCAAGCCGAGCTCTGTGAGGACATGAATACGAAGCCGGACCCGGAGGTGCGGGAGGAAATCACCGTACTGACCGACATCTGCCTGCGTGTGCAGCGCTGCGCGGTCCATGCTACGGCTAAAGCTATGGGCATGACGGTGCTTCAAGAACGTGCACGATGGCTGAACCTCACCAACCTCTCTGAGAGAGAGAAGGAGGACATTTTGGACATGCCAATCGTGCCTGAAGGCATTTTCGGCTCTGCCCTGGCATCAATGCAGCAACGGTGTGCGGCTAAAAAGAAAGAGGATGAAGCCCTTCATCTCTGCCTTCCCCGTAAACCCTCACCGGCGCTGCCGGCTCGGCCGAACCTGCCTCAGGCAGCTGCCCGAGCCCAGCCTCAGTTCCGGATCCCAAAGCGCCCGAAGCCTCAAGCTGTCCAACCAGCTCCTTCGGGCTCAGAGCCTCGACCAGTTTGGCCTCAGGGATCCGGCAACCAAGCTGCTCCGCCACCGGGACAATCCACCAGACACGGCGGTCAGCAGGTGAGGAGGAAGAAGTGGGCAGCCTGTCGGAGTTCTTCCCTCCCGACGCTGCAGCTGGCGGTTCCCCGTTCGCCAGCTCCTCCTGTTGGATGTTGCCATGGTGCTTTCTCCCCCCCCCTCACGGAACCCCTCCGGCAGAGTTCCCGAGCGGTCCAGGGTGGGGCCAGGACGTGCAGCCGGCGGTGCCGGCTCAAAGCACACGTCACAAGCACTCACATTGTTTTTCACAAACATGTCACGCTCAAGGAGCATTAAAAGGTTCGCTGTCGCATCCAGACAAGATGTCAAGGGCGCAGCAAAAATCAATATAAATGTCACCCATGAGCGGTTCCAGGCGGGGGCGGCGCCACGGGTCGTCCCCGTAAGCCTGGGCCGTCAAAGCACAAAGCCCCCGCGCATGCGCAGTGGCTGCCACGAGCACCGCTGCCCCACAACCTCTGGAGGGAGCTGGTGCTCCGTGTGTCACGGCTGTGTCACCGCTCTCCACCCACAGGGAGGAATGGACAGCGGTTTCTGCTTCACGTTGGGTGCTGAGAACAATTTCGAGGGGTTACAGGCTCCAATTCGCTTCTGTTCCTCCTCGATTCTCCGGCGTAGTGTTCTCCCACGCCCAGGGGTCGTCAGCTCACATCCTTCAGGGAGAAATCTCCTCCCTGCTGGAGAAGGGAGCGATATGCATTGTGCCTCCCGATCGGTCTCAGAGCGGTTTCTACTCCAGGTACTTCCTGGTCCCGAAGCGGGGAGGGACCGGGATTCGCCCGATCCTGGATCTGAGGGCCCTGAACCGATGCCTCAGAAAGTACAGATTCAAAATGCTCACGCTCTCATCCCTTTTGCGTCTGATTCACCAGAGCAACTGGCTCACCTCAATCGACCTGAGGGACGCATACTTTCATGTTCCCGTGTACCCTCCACACAGGACATTTCTGAGGTTTGCCTTTCAGGGAGTGTGTTACGAATACACCGTGCTCCCATTCGGCCTCTCGCTGAGCCCGAGGGTGTTTGTCAGGTGTACGGAGGCGGCGATCGCCCCTCTGAGAGGGAGGGGCATTCGGCTGGCCACGTATTTAGACGACTGGCTCCTGCTGGCACGGTCCAGAGAGGAGACAGCGTCAAACACGCTGGTTGTGATTCCTCCCTTGTGTGGTCTGGGTTTCAGAATAAACTGGCAGAAAAGCGCTTTGCTCCCCTCCCAGAAAATAACCTTTCTAGGTCTGAATCTGGACTCAGGGGCGTTCACGGCCCGTCTCTCGGCACCGCGCGTGAACGCGCTCTCGTTCTGCCTGGCGCGCTTCCGCCTACACAGTTCGGTGCGGTTTGCGTTATGCCTCAGGCTTTTGGGTCTCATGGCGTCGGCTATTTCAGTGGTACCACTCGGCCGTCTACACATGAGAGATTCTCAACGCTGGGTGGCTTCTCTGGGTCTCTCTCCAGTACGCCACAGAGCGCGCAGGGTGACGGTCTCTGCAGCGTGCGTCACGGCGCTCCGCTGTTGGCGTCACCCCTCCCTCTTGGCACAGGGGGTGCCTTTGGGGTTGGTTCTCGTGAGGAGAGTGGTCACGACAGATGCGAGCCTGTCAGGTTGGGGGGGGCTCCTGGAGGGTCGCTCTGTCAGGGGTGTGTGGAGCAGAGAGCTCTGGGGGACACACATAAATTATCTGGAACTCCTCACGGTCTTTCTAGCCCTGAGGCGCTTCCTGCCTTTTCTCTCCGGCCATCATGTCCTAGTGAGAACAGACAACACCTTGACTGTGGCTTATATAAACCACCAGGGGGGGCTGCGCTCCGTGCGGTTACACACGCTGGCACGCAGACTGATCCTATGGTGCAGCAGGCATCTCCTCTCAATCAGAGCCACCCATGTCCCGGGTGTTCTGAATCGGGGGGCGTATCTGTTGTCCAGAGGGACACCCCTGTACGGGGATTGGAGCCTGCATCTAGCAGTGTTGGAACAGATTTGGATCCGGTTCGGCACAGCCGTAGTGGATCTTTTTGCCTCCAAGGAGAATGCTCACTGTCCTCTGCGCGACCGAGACGCTCCACTCGGCGTGGACGCGCTGGCGCACGACTGGCCACGGGGACTGCTTTACGCTTTTCCCCCAGTGGCCCTGATACCACCCACCTTGCTGAGGGTACGAACCCAGCTCCACACTCTCATTCTGGTGGCCCCATACTGGCCAGCTATGCATTGGGTGGCGGACATTTTCCAGCTCCTAGAGGGCCAACCTTGGAAACTTCCGCTTCGCAGGGACCTGGTGTCCCAAGCGGGAGGCTCGATCTTCCACCTTCATCCAGAACGGCTGGCCCTGTGGGCCTGGCCCCTGAGGGGTGCGGGCTAGTGTCAGCAGAGCTGCCCCAGGCGGTCATTCGAACCATTCAGAATGCTAGGGCCCCCTCCACTAGGTCCCTATATGACTGTAAATGGAGGGTGTTTGAAGCCTGGTGTCAGGGCAGGGAGGTCTCACCCTTCCAATGCCCGGTGAACGTCATTCTGTCTTTCCTGCAAGACTTGTTGGATGGGAAGAAGGCTTTCTCCACCATTAAAGTGTACCTAGCAGCCATTTCCTCCCGACACTTGGGTTTTGGGAAGAAACTGGCAGGTCAACACCCCCTGGTGTGTAGCTTCATGAGGGGCGCGCGCAGGCTTCTCCCTGTGTCTCGACCCCTGGTGCCCTCATGGGATCTGTCCTTGGTGCTGTCGGCCCTCTCCGGGCCTCCATTTGAACCTATGGACGGCTGAATCGGGGGGCCGACCTTAAGATCCTGTCTCTTAAGGTGGTGCTACTCCTGGCTTTGGTATCTGCAAAGCGAGTTAGTGACTTACAGGCTCTCTCTGTGCACCCATCCTGCACCCAGTTTGCACCCGGTGACATGAAGGTGTCCCTGAAGCCCAACCCTGCCTTTGTGCCTAAGGTGGTGGGCTCCTTTTCTCCTATTATCC